GAATAGCCTTCGGTTAATAGAATTATGAATAGTAGTGAAGTAGTATGGTGGAAGGGGATTGTCATAATACCATTAAGCTACTTGCTCTCTTTACAAGTTGGCATAACGAGTAAAATTACTTAGGGGATATTTGGTTTTGGCTTTCTTCAAAAAATAATTTGAGGAAGCTGACCAAAATTGGCTTTGGCTTGGCTTAGGAAATTACATTTTTCGGCATAAAAATTGCGGTTCAATATAATTGACTATAATATAATTGTAATAGATTATATACAACATTTCTTGGGAAACTTTTTTCGGAATATTTTGTTTGAAAAGTAAAGTAATTAATCAATTATAGAGGGAAATTCGATCATATCATTTATAATGCCTTTCTAATTAAACTCTTTGTAATCAATTATATGCTTAATGTAATTTATTACAGTCCCATTATAATCAATTATATTGAATCTCTATTTTTGTGCAAAAAAATTTAATTTCTCAAGTCAAGCCAAAGTTAATTTTGCTTAGCTTCTCTGAATTCTCTTTTCGGAAAACACCCAAACCAAACACCCATTTGAAGGCTAAATAAGTTCAAAAAGTAATTTTTTTACATCTTATAACCTGGTTGCTACTTCTATAGTTACATTTCAATGCCTTATATTTAAGTGCATTATGCTAAAAAGCCAATTACCTGTCATATCTCGAGTTCTGGTCCGGTAGAACATTCATCTAGACATTTATTTTATGCTATATCTTATACTTTATGTACTACCTATATGGCAAGTTGTATATTGATTATAGTTTTTGTATTATTAATATATCCTTCGTTTTATCAAGAAATTAGACGATTAAAAGTATTTATGTATATTATAAACAGTGACTACCATTAGCCCAAATCCACTATCAATTATTACTAGTATTTGAATAATTTTTATTTAGTTTAGCTGTTAGAATACAACTAATAACTTTTCTTTAATGAGAAGAAATAAGGCTATTTAAATTATATAAATAACTTTTCTTTAATGTAGTTTCTTGTTTAATATTTCACTTGATTGAAAAAAATTTCAATTACCATTTATATGTTATATTAAATTTTTACTTAACTTTTAAAAATTCAAAAGTGAAATTAAGACTATTATTATTAAACAAAGAGAGTATTAGATATCAATTATTAGTTATCAAATATTTTTTAATAGTTAAACTAAACAACCGTTACATTTTAAAAATGAACACTGATTGATATATTTTTTAATCCAACATACTATACAACACACTCATTGAAAATTCATTGTGTTCTGTTTTAAAATTAAAAGCAAATAAATTTAAATATACAATCATGTATACCGAATGCAAAAACTAACTAAATTAATTATACTTATATTATATTTTAATGATTAAACTAAATAAATATTTAACAATATTTTGAATTGAAAAATATACTAATCATTTTCCTTTAAAAATACAAACCTCTTGTGAGCAAGAGAGATGGGTGATAGTCAGGTGTACCTTTTTTTTTTTTGTGGCCGTCCTGGTGTACCTGTTTGATATAGGCAAAGCTCTTCTGTGTCATACCAAAATTTTTATATTTTCTCTTTGTTTAATTAATGGCACATCTTCTGTAGAAAGATTTTCTCTTATAAATTATATTTGCCTTCTTCCACAGTTTTAGGTAGAGATTCCCCATTTCTTTCTTCCTTCATGCAAGAACTGGCATTCTAACTCCCAATCACGCGCTAACAACCATATCTCCATTTCCACCTTTATGCAATTTTTCTAAATATCATTGATGGCTAATGTCATCGATGATCCCATAACACTGAAAAGTGTTGATTATTATATACCATTATTCTCACTAATTAATATAAAGAATTAACTGTCAATTTGATGAATAGGTATAAAATCCTTTTCGCCCCAACATTTGGCCTTGGAATCCATGGACAATTAATTTCCTTAATCCATCATTGTGTCTATTGATTGTGGCAGGCTGGCAGCAATGAGCTTGCAGCCACTGATCAAATCTTATAATTTTTAATTTTCACATTTAAAAACTAATTTTATTTTTTATTTCTATTTGATAAAGATTAGCAAAGAAAGAATCAAAGAATGAAAGATAGAGTTATATATATATAATTTAAGAATAAAGGAAGGAAAGATAGAGTTTAATTAACTACCAAGTGTATCATGCCCCCATTTTTTAATTCCTTCACCTCCTATTTTGGAAATTTTCTAAAAAAGAATGGTTTTTAAAAAATAATTTCAAAATGGGGTAAGCTTCAAATTTATATAGTTAATGTCATAATTACAGTACTATAGAAGATTATAATTTTAGTTACAATCATGATGAATTATCAAATGAGTGCGATATATTATTAAATAAAAGAGTACTTATAATATCACTAGTAGAGTCTTAAGTGAAAAGAGTTAATTATATAACGACATATCATGTCGTAAACTTATAATATCATATGATATTATAATTGTATCATATTTGAATTTATATTCCAACAAGGACAGATCTATAAAATTACAATATCATGATGGCAAAAAAAAAAATTATATGAAATTAGTACCTTGCATTTCTAAATTTGCCCCCCTTTTTGAGTCAAATTTATAAATAAATGGCATTAAACAATTACTTCTACCCACGAATTCTTCCATTTTTAAGGGATAAT